ATGCCATTGCCGATGCCTGGCACCGGGGGAACGCCTCTACCGATGCCCATGCCGATGCCCATGCCGGCTCCTGGAGCAGGGGCGGGGTGGGGCTACTACCCCGCCCCTGGTCCACACCTGTACTACCCGAGCACCGGCCCGTCACGAGGCGGTGGTGGCCCGCGAGGCGGCAGGGGCCGTGGGCGAGGGGGCGGTGGTGGCGGTCAGAGAGGTGGTCGCGGGGGAGCGGCTAAGGCCGCTGACGCAGCGGGTCGAGGCAAGGGCGACAAAGAAGGGTACCGCCCGTACCTCATCAGCTCCTTCTTTGCTTCCCGCTTGTTCCACTCTTTCTGCGGGACAGGAGTTGTGTGGGTGCTAAAATGGTTGGGGGGTGGACGCCAACTCAGGTTGATGAAGCTGCCGATGTTCCAGTCGCCCAAGCTTGAAACGCCCGAGGAGATCGCCGCCTACATCGCCGAGCGAAAGCGCAAGTTCCCCACCAAGGAGATTGTCACCAAGAAGGTTCGTAGCTGCACGTCACCACACTTGCACACCCCTGTGTGTGTGTGTGTGGGTGTGTGGTGCGTGTGTGTGTGTGATCGCTCATCCGTGCGCGACCTTGTTGATGGAGCTGACGCACTCGTTCCTCTATAGCTGGAAGAAAAGGCCAAGCGAGGAGAGGAGGAAAGCGGCCGAGGGCGTGGCCGTGGAAGAGGCCGCGGTCGCGGTCGGGGCCGGGGCAGGGGAGGCTGGGGCGGAGACGACGGCGAGGGCAGGGGCGGGCGAGGCCGAGGTGGTCGAGGAGGCCGGGGACGCGGTGGACGCTTCAACCACTACCACGACCGCGATTTTAACGGAGGCGAGGACGAGCAGCCCGATGATGATGAGCAGCAGGGTCAAGAGCCCGCCCAGCAGGAGAAGTTGGTAGTCCGCGAAGACCCCAAGGCGCAGCTTGCTGAGGTCCCCGTCGAGTCGACGACCGACGCGCCAGTCGAGACAGACGAGGTGGTGGAGGCGCCGGGTATTCTCGGTGACCTTCTGGCTGCGTATGGCGACGATGAAGAGGAAGAGAAGGAACTCAAGGAGAGCACCGCACAGCAACCGCCGCAGCCGCAACCACAGCAGCAGCTGAAGGAGGTGGCGGAAGCGGCACCAACG